TGGTCCGCCAGACATCGAGATAATGAGAAATGAGATGATGGAATTTCGAGTTTTGACGCAGTGTACGATGTAAAAAAAGTAAAGTTACAGCCTATATACGTCCCACTACTGGGCACAGGCCTCCTCTCATTTCTGAGAGGGTTTTAGGGCAAGGAATAGTCCGCCGCGCTGCCCCAATGCGTGTTGGCGAACTTTCACATGTCTTTGAAATATTTTTTTTTCTTATTTCTCGGACATGCAGTTTCCTCACGTTGTTTTCCTTCACCGCCGAGCACGTGGTAAATCAGCACTTAAAATTGCAATTAACAATTTCATTGGTGCCGGCGGGGATCGAACCCGGTTTGCTCGCGTATTGTGAAATTTACAGCGAGCGCTAACCATCTGAGCTACCACGGCTCTCATACAATTCGTACAAGTCTCGGCTGAATTCCATCATCGTACGATTTTCAGCACCTTTTTATTTTTTATAGAATAAGGATAACAAACGAGCACACAGTCCACCTGATGGTTGGGGGATGCTGTGACCCATAAAATCTACATTTATCCTCGATTAAGAATCAAAACGCAGATGCGTTGTCATCACGGTGAGACGGTCATCACTACGGTCATCATCATCATCACGGTGTCAGGACTAAGATGGAATGCCTCGTTTCCAGTAAAAAACGTGTCTCCGGATCCCTACACTACGAAATATAGCAACAATAAGCTACTATTTTACGTTACCGTGTAGTGGCGGTTGAGAATATACACTACCCCATATCTTTCCGTGGGTGTCGTAAGAGGCGACAGAGGGAGACAGGCAGGAGATGGGCAGCAGCATCTTCCTAATAACAACAATAATATAATAAAAAAACTGCGGTTGCCAACCCGCTCGCTAAGCGTGGCAACTATGGCAAATATCCCTCATGAGTAACGACACAAACAAACGGTCCCCAGTCCCCGCTATTCCTGGCTATGGTGGCGACCATGGTAACGGCGGGGCAGGGGTGCTAAAAATCTCCGTTGGCGGTTCGGTTGCCACCTACGACGACTTGACCTGGCAACATATAACGTACGCACCCTGAGGACTGACGAGAAGATAGGAGCTGGAAGAAGAGGTAGACAAGTTGCGTTGGCATATTATTGGATTATCCGAGGTCCGAAGAGAGGGGGAGGACACGGTAATCCTCGAGTCCGGCAACTTGTTCTATCACCGGGAGGCCGACCATCTGTCCCAAGGAGGTGTCTGATTTATCGTCCACAAGTCTCTCGTCAACAACGCTGTAAAGATGAAATGAGGAACGTGATACTCAGAATCACCAAACGGTATTCGCTGAAGGTCATACAGGTTTACGCACTAACCTTGGCACATCCTGATGAGGAGGTGGAGGAAATATAGGAGGATATTTCCAGAGCCATGCATTCCTCCAAAACCACTACACGGTGTTGATGGGAAACTTCAACGCAAAACTAGGCACAAGAGATAGTGGTGAGCTGAAGTTAGGGAAATTTGGAGTAGGGCATCGTTGATTGGAGACTTCAACGCAAAACTAGGCGACTATGAAGATAGTGGTGAGCTGAAGTTAGCGATGAATTTTTTCGAGAAGAGGCAACGGAACCGTGGGGCCGGTCAAGCCCCAAGGTTCGACAAAAAATGAGATTGACTTCATTATGACGACCGGACGCCAACTGTTCAGTGATGTCTCAGTGATCGCAAGGGTGAAAACTGGCAGCGATCACCGAATGGTTAGAGGCACACTGAACCTAAACGTTAAGTTGGAGAGGTCTCGTCCAATGAAGTCAACGCTCCGTCCCCCCTCGTGTTCTCTTCCAGAATCCCGAAACATTTCAGTTCGAGTTACGTAACCGCTTTCAGTGCCTAGAAGATCGCAATGCAGTGGACAATGTGAATGACAAGCTCGTGGAAACTGTCCATGCGGTCGGAGCTAAGTTCTGCAAGACCCACCGCAGAAGAACAAAAAAAACTCTCCGATCATACTCTTAATCTCATGGCTGTTAGACGGGAGATGAGGCTGCAGTTCAGTTGCCTGTACGCTGTCAACAAATTTGACACCATACAGGCAACTGAACAGACAGATCTCCAAATGCATGCGGCGAGACTTGCGCAACTTCAATACTGCTCGTATTGAAGAAGCGATCGAGCGGAACCAGGGCTCCAAAGTCTTTGCCAGAGATCTGTCTGCCAGTAAGAGCCAACTGTCAAAGCTGAAGACTGAGTGTGGCAACATCGTTTCCGGGACACCTGAGATTTTGAGTGAGATTGAGAGGTTCTATGGGCAGCTGTATACATCATCGTTGGAGCCACATGCAAGTGTGAGTAACGATCCAAGAGCAAGTCTTATCCGACACTATTCCGATGATATCCCGGACGTCAGTGTGAGCGAGATTAGAATGGCTCTCCAGCACCTTAAAAACGGCAAGTTCCCGGGCGAGGATGGAATTACAGCGGAGTTTCTGAAAGCGGGTGGAAAACCGGTACTTGAAGTCCTTCAGAGGCTCTTTAATTCCGTATTCCATGGCGGCACTATTAAGTTCGGCGGTCTTGTTCTTCAAGAAAGGTGACAATGCCCTCTTGAAGAAATACAGACCGATATCCCTTCTGAGCCGCGACTATGTGCTGTTTTCGAGAGTCATTACGAATCGTCTCGCACGCAGACTCGACAACTTCCAGCCTCCCGAACAAGCCGGTTTCCGAAAAAACTTCAGTACCATAGACCACATACATACCCTTCGGCAAATTGTACAGAAGTCCGAAGAGTACAATCTGCCACTTTTCCTGGCGTATGTGGACTATGAGAAAGCCTTTGATTTCGTCGAAATTTGGGCGATGCTACAGTCTCTTCATCGGTGCCAAGTTGACTGGCGGTATATCGAAGTGCGAGAGGGTAATGGTTTCCGCTGTCACGTGAACATTGTGCTCTCGTAATTTAATTGCTTAAAAATAAATATTCAACTGTATCGTGCTAGATTTACCAAAAAAGTGGAGAAAACTGTTCAATACATGTGTGAGAGTGTTATCAAGACATATAATACGCAAATTAGACTGTATTATTGTGAATCTTACGGTGAGCTACCCACAGCAATAAAACCGATATGTGCTATTTTATCCCAAAATAATACCAAATACATCTTATATATCCACTGACAAACATTGACAAACACAAATAAAAATAGAAATATAAAACAATAAATACTTTAGAAACTTAAAAACTTTATATTTGTGATTTAAAGTGACGGTTAAAGAAAAATTTTCAAACACATGCAAAACGCTCGTAACGAACGAATCTGTCGTTTCGTATTTGTTTGTAATAGAACTACTATTTTGGCAGACATAGTAAGTAGTAGTGATGGCGTGTTGGCTACGCACTCGAGGTGGTCATTTGAGGCCGCAGGATCGTATCTAACCTGCACAATTTGACTTTTTGTGAGTGTTTTAAGTTAAGTTAAGTTTCAGTCGCAAGCAAAACATCTGTGAAGTGTTTATAGATAATCAGATTGGTGTGGTTATTGGTGATCGTTGATAAATAAGAATAACAATATCATCAGTGATTTGAGGTTACAAAACACTACAGACACTATTCATCGACATATGTCATAGCAACGTCAACAAGACGGACGCTTGCGACACTGACAGTACCACCAGTGTTGCCAATCATAAAAATAAATTCTACCATTTCTAATATTACGTTCCAACATACGCTAACACAACTTCATAACAATATAATGGAAGGTCAATTTCAAATATTATTTGAAAAATTGAAAATTGAGATGCAAAGCCAAACTGCGGAATTGAAGGATTCTATCACAAAAAGTATTATGGACAAAATGGATGATAAGTTAATCCCTTTAGTGGAAGAAAAATCTAAGTAGAACAATTAGAAAAAGTAATTGAGTTTCTGAAAAAAATGGAGAAGAAAAATAATATCATAATATTTGGCTTGGAAGAAAAAGAGACATCAACTTTCCAACTACTACAAGAATTTAAGGAACATCTGAAACAAGATCTAAATATTACTATAGAACATTACGAAATCAACAAAATTTACCGCTTAGGTACTAAAAATAGAGAAATTAACAAACCAAGGCCGGTGCTATGTTCGTTTATAAGCAATTGGAAAAAGAATGAAATTATTAAAATAAAAAGAACCTGAATAAAATTAATATCAGTGAAGATTACTAAAAGGAAGTTTTGGAAAAGCGGAAAACGTTACAAGCCAAGCTAGCTGAATAAAGGAAAAAAGGCAATTTTGCGTATTTGAAATATTATAAACTAATCGTTAAAGAGAATCAAAAGAGCCAAGATAAACGAAAAAGAGAATCATCTACCTCACCCACTGCTGATCACCTCTTATCACCCATTAACCAATCCAAAAAACAACAGATTGTAGCTTCAATCAAAGCAAACAGGACAAATGTTTTCGATATGATGCGCGGTCGGTCCAACTCTCTTTCAAATATATCTACTACAGGAAAACAATAACAATTAAAAATCGGCAAACGGAAACCAAAACCAACCGAAGAAACTGGCAACAATGAAACAAGAACACACCAACCTCCCCCAAGCCGACTGGTCCTCGTGGGGGATAGAGACCACAACCCTCCAACAATAAGTGACCACAAAAATAACAAATCCATAATCTCTGTCGCAGCACTCAACGTACTTACCCTGAAAAGTGAAGAAAACCTTACAGAACTCATGTATGCTTTAAAACACATCAAATGGGACATTGTTGGCCTCAGTGAAGTGAGAAGAATGGGTGAAAATATCATATCGTATCCAGATTACACATTCTACCATATAGGAGAGACCCCGGGACTCCATGGGGTTGGATTTATTGTTAAAAACATATAACAAAACATGTGGAAGGATTTATAGGTATATCGGAGCGGATTGCTATAATGAATTTAAAACTACCTGTTTGGTGTGTACTATCGTAATATACTTCTACCTTAATCTAAATAATGCGATCCACGAGCACGGTCATAAAAACCTTTTAATAATGGGAGACTGTAATGGTCAACTTGGAGAAAGGCGCCCGGAAGAGAAAAAAGTACTAGGACCTTTCACATACAGTAATAAACCCAGAAGTAGAAATGGAGAACATATTACAAACTTCGCACTAGAAAATAACCTCACCATCTTAAACACTATGTTCAGGAAAAATAAGAAAAACATGTGGACCTGGATCTCGCCAGACGGCAAAACAAAAAACCAAATTGATTTCATAATGACCAACAGAAACAACTACTTCACTAACTTTTCCGTAATCAAGAAATTGAACTTCAACACTAATCATAAACTAATTAGAGCAGAACTAGCATCAAATCAACCAAAGAAACCTAGACCAAGACACGACTTATTTAACACAAAGCTCGGAAAACATCAGTTAGAACAAATAACAATCGCTCTAATAGACAAATTTACAGACTATGAATCTAACACAAAAGAATTTGGAACACGAGGAAGATACAATTGGATAGAAAATACCATAAAAACCCAAATACAACTAATTGCAAATACAAAAACTGAACCGAAAAAATGGCTAACAACAAATACCACAAAACTACTAGAAGCGAGAAACCATTTAATTAGCACTAAAGATACACAGACAGAAGAAAAAATTTAACGGAAATTAGTAAAAAAATTAAAGATAGAATAAGGAAGGACAGAAAACAAAACAGAATGGAAACTATAAAAACATTTATAAGCAAAACGGGTGGAATCAAAAAAGCATACAGAGAGTTGAGAAATTCGAAGGATTGGATTGTTAAAATGAAAAATGACAGTGGAAAATGGAATCATCGTAGAACAGGAATATTGGATATAGCAACATCTTATTACAAGAGACTGTACGAAAGTAACACAACAGAAGACGAAATTGATTTGGCGGATACCTCAAACATTCCTAACATTCTTCAAGCTGAAGTCGAGAAAGCCATAGATACTCAAAAGGTAGATAAAACACCAGGTCCTGACGGCATAAGCAACGAAATTTTAAGACAAGGGAAGGAAGTGTTAGCACCTGTCCTTACAGATATATTTAACAATATTATAAACACTGAAATAATTCCCCAGCAATGGACAGAATCTAACATTATCCTGTTGTATAAGAAGGGAGATAAACATGAAATCGGAAACTATCGCCCTATCAGTTTTATGTCAAACATCTACAAAATCTTCGCTAAGATCATTTTAAAACGTATTGAAAGAATGCTAGACGAACAACAACCCATTGAGCAGGCGGGATTTCGTAAGGATTACTCGGCTACCATTTCAGACAATACCAGCTTACATATTACATTGCTTTTATCGACTACAGCAAAGCATTTGACTCTCTTCTACATAAAAACATATGGGAAGCATTAGTGGAACAAGGGATTGAATTCAAATACATTCGATTAACAAAAAACGTGTACAGTCATAGTACAGCCAGAATCCAGTTAGATAGGAAAAGCAGCACAAAGTAGGAAAGGGTGTTAGACAGGGCGACCCCCCTGTCCCCAAAATTATTCTCGGCTGTACTGGAATCAATTTTCAGAAAACTTAATTGGGAAAATCTTGGCATCAATATAGACGGCACATCACTGACGCATTTAAGATTCGCTGATGACATAATGCTATTCGCCAAAACACCTGAAGCCATCAATAAAATGATAGAAGACCTATCGATAGAAAGTGAGAGAGTAGGATTAAAACTCAATCCAGAGAAGACTAGAGGATGACAAATGGAGAGAAAACCACGATACGGATAAGAAATACCGAAATCAACTACACTGACGATTACATCTATCTGGGACAACTCATAACCCAAAAAGAACCTATGCGCGAGGAAGTGAAGAGAAGAATTACGAACAGCTGGAGACGATACTGGAGCTTGAGAGAGGCTATGAAAGACAAACAACTTCATATAAACATCAAAAGCAAACTATTTAACACCTGCGTACTACCCGTTCTTATGTATGGCCGCCAATCATGGACTTTAACTCGTGAAATGACAGACAGGCTAGCAAATTGCCAATATGCTATGGAGAGGAGCATGCTGAATGTCAAAAGATCAGACAGACTGAAAAACTGTGTCATCAGAAATAAAACAAGAACCATAGATGTAGTACGGAAAATTAAAAGACTCAAATGGAGGTGGGCAGGGCACACAATAAGAGGTCATGACAAATGGAGTAAGAAGGTGACAAGATGGTATCCCAGGGAAGGAAAAAGGAAAAGAGGCAGACCGCAGAAAAGATGCGACGACGATATAAGAGAAGTGGCAGGAAGTGATGTGGAACAGAGTGGCTCAAGAAAGATCAGAATGGAAGAGGTTGGAGGAGGCCTTTGCCGATTGGCAAACAGATCTACAAAAGATAAAAAAGCAGCAAATATTAGATTAAGTTTTATGTTTGCTTTAGTATATTGTTATTAGGTTAAGTGGATCTGAATAAAGGCTATTATTATTATTATATCGAAGTGCTGAAGTGTTTGTGCAGTAGGGCTACGATGGCTATCCGAGTACAGAACCAGAGTACGAAACCTATCCAACTGCAGAGAGGTGAAAGACAGGGTGACGTTATTTCCCCGAAACTCTTCACCGCTGCATTGGAAGAAATTTTCAAGCTAGTAGACTGGAAAGGATACGGTATTAACATCAATGGCGAGTACATCAATCACCTTCGATTTGCCGACGATAAAGTCCTTATTATCGATGTATCGATAGCAGAATCGCTGGAGAGCCTAAGCACTATGCTCAATGACCTTAATAATGTCTCCCAACGGATGGGCCTTAAGATGAACATAGACAAAACAAAGATCATGTTTAATGTCCATGTAACAACCCGGTAATTGTTGTTGGGAGCACTAAGCTTGAAGTTGTTGACGAGTATGTTTACCTGGGACAAATTGTCCAACTAGGTAAGTCCAACTGGGTAAGCCCAACTTCGATTGAGAGGTCAATCGACGGATTCAACTCGGCTGGGCAGCGTTTGGGAAATTACGACACATCTTCTCGTCGGGTATACATCTAATTCTGAAAACTAGATTGTGCAACCAGTGCGTGTTGACAGTGATGACTTACGGATCTGAGACGTGGTCCTTCACTACTGGCCGTATGAGGACGCTCAAGGTCTCAGCGAGCTAAGGAGAGGGCTGTGCTCGGGGTTTCTCTGCGTGATAAACTTAGAAATGAGGATATCCGCAGTAGAACCAGAGTGACCGACATAGCCCAACGGATTAATAAGCTGAAGTGGTAATGGTCGGCCATATAGCTCGAAGAACTGACAACCGTTGGGGAAACAAGGTTCTCGAGTGGCAGCACAGCCCCGGATCTAGGGGGGGGGGGGCAAACCGGGGCACCGGCCCCGGGCGGCAGTTTCAGGGGGGCGCCAAAATTATATTATAATTCGAATTTAAGAAATAGCTTGCTCCACAAGACGTGTAGTATCCAACGCACGTTGCTCTATCAATTTTTCACTTGATGTTAAAATGCCCAGTTGGTTTTTGACCACATCCTAAGGGTTCATTTTGAAATGTGTTGCCAGCAGCAGCGCAGTAAATTGTGATCAATACTTAACGTCGCAAATTTTAATTTAAATGATTACGATCGTACTTTCAAATACCACCTAGATCCCGTAAAAAAGGACATGTATCCTGTTTATCGAATACAAAATGAAATTATCGGTAATATATTAAACAAAGTTCAAAATACCATTACCAATGTCATCAAGGAAGCCAACTATTTCACCATCATGTTTGACTGCACTCCAGATGTCATCTCACACGGAACAAATGAGTTAGGTTGATTTAATTTATAAAAATATTGAAATCTGGACGTTAAACAAAGGAAAGTTTTATTGATTTTTTTGAAGTTGATGGAAAGACTGGAGAATAAATTACACAGCGAATTCTAGAGAGACTAGAAGCTGATGGTTTATATGTGCAAAAATGTCGTAGATAATCTTACGATAATGGATCTAGGAGTCCAATCTAGATTTTCGCAAATAAACGAGCTGGTAATTTGTACACTACTTGTTAAATCCAGTTAGCCTATTTGGGCTCGTACATAAACTTTATTATTTCTTTGTTGGATCCACCACATGGTAGAAAAAATGCAAAAGTGTACATAAACAAACTTAAAAGGAAGTAATCAAACCTGAGGGTTGGCTAAACACCAGGCTGTTACTGATCTATTAATTTACCGGATACTGTCAACGTTCTGGAAGAAATTGAAAAATCTTGTCCAGTCGTAGAATCCAAGTATGAAACTGGTTTTCACAACATGCGGTGATGCATTTTAAATTTATCCTCTACTTAACATTTTGGGATAATATTCTTAGAGAAATCAATAGAGGTAGAGTGAACGTTGAAATACAAAAAGAGGATATTATCATTTCGCATTCTGTGGCGATAATGCAAGGTCTTGTTAAGATCTTGCAAGGAATGAAAGAAAAACCAATTAGAACATTGGTTCAAAGCAGCTGCACTTTTATTAGAAAAGTTAGAAATCGAGCCAGTCCTTAAAATCAAACAAATCTCCATAAAGAAAACGCAACACAATAAAATCTGCGAGGAAGAATCAAGAACGCTATATCCAAATTTTTTATTTTCCAAAGATATAAAAATAGTGTTTGGCAAAAATTTAACAGATTTTATTTTCTAGCATTGATTGGGTGACAAACGAGCACAAAGTCCACATGATGGTAAGTGGATGCTGTGACCCATAGAAATCCACATTTATCCTCAACTAAGGATCAAAATGCAAATGCATTGTCACCCTTGAGGATTAAGACGGAATGCGAGCGACGGAGTATGAGTGTCTCCGGTTCTCTACACTCACCATGCGGAACACAGCAGCATTACGCTGAGGGTATTCTGTGAGAGCGTGGTCCTGCCTCGGTTGTGCTGACCCATTTGTGCTACAACTACAACATAGCTGCAGCGTTGTCTACCATGAAAAGAATATAACAAGAGTAGAGATCGCAAAGAGTCTAGATGAAAATTTTGCCTACCTTAGTGGCCACGCGTTTTAAGACAAGTCGACTGAGGATCTGCGAAAAAATGGAGCCAATATAGCTCAAAAATATGCGAAAGACTTGTCCAGTTGATTTTTGCCACGACATTGCCCTTTTTTAAATAGTAGTATATATACTAGTATCCGAAATTAATAAAAAATCAAGTATATTCGACTTGTTACAACATCTGTACAAGCATCACTTCCTAGTAGTGTTTCCTTATGTTAGTATAGCTTTAAGAATATACTGCACATTAACTACCACATCTGCAAGCTGTGAGCGAAGCTTCAGCTGCAAATAATTTAAATCTATCTATCTGCGTTTCACAGCGAGTCAGGAACATCTATCTGGCCTCGCGAACCTAGCCATTGAAAATAAAACTGACTTTGAGACAGACTTTGATGAGCTAATAGATTCCTTCGCAGCAAAGAAAGCACGTCGTATAAATCTGTAGGAAGATTGGAGAGAAAACGATGCTGAGACCTAAAGTTTCTAAACATCTTGATTCTGTCTCTCTCTGTCTGTTTTCTTTCCTAGTTATAGGTATGTTTATATATAGTTATAGGTATGTCTATATATAATTTTCTGTTACACAAACGAAAAAGTTATTAGCTAAATGCTACCCATTATGTATTTGTGAGTTTTTTTAACAAGTTATCTAAAATCAGCGTTCTGGAGAGAGGAGGCGCCACTATCAAGTTTTTGCCCCGGTTAAAAAAATCGTAGATCCGGTACTGCAGCATCGTACGGTAGACGTAGTGTAGGGCGCCCCCCTCTAGATGGAGTAACGCATCGTAAGGCATGCAGCAAGTCAATGGATGTAGGTGACTTGGAAGCATAGAAACCAACCAGGATGTAAATGTGTACTTTTTTACTCATCCGTGACAAAGGCCTAATAAAAAGATTTGACTTTGACCTTGACTCCACCTAGTTGCGAGGTAGGACCCCTTTTCTGCCTAGACGACATCGCGAAAAAATGCACCTCCTTTCATCGAATAGTATAGGACTATGACACCAGTAATGAAAGTGGAATTTTGATATAGGTAAATTCATGTCTTTATCTTGAATTTGATTGTTCAAAAACACGGTTGTATAATTTTTACTCGATCATAATTATTTGCGAAAGCACCTCCAAAAATCACTATAGTTGAAATTACAACGAAATTACTTAATCTATATGCTTGGGAAACTCAAATATATTTATAACATCAATATTCATATAATTTTTTATAATGGGCAAGTAAATGCTTATTATTTTGATTACTTAATAAATCAATAATTTTTAAAAAATATTTTAAGATTCTGACAATTTCTAAGCGGTTTTATTCGTCGCGTGCGCTACGCTATTTTAGATCTTATGACGGCGTT